CTTGTTGTTGTTGTATCTTGTTATCCTGAACTCGTTTGACGCTTGTTGGTGACCACCAAACAGCTCCACCATGATACTCAGGATGATCCTCAAGCTGTAGGGTATAGGATTTGGTTTCCCGCCTCTTCTTGATGGCTAGGGACTGCCTGAGGCCTTTGAGTTCGCCGTGGAGGAGTGTATTTTGAGCTGCAAGGTGGTGTAAACTTCGTTGAAGCTTCCTGACGTCCTTGCTGTTACGATCCCTCACCTCACGACGTACAATTGTCTTCAGCTTGAGCCAATCCTCCCTGGAGAGTACAGAGGTTGAACTGGCTTCTGAATCTAACCCCTCCTTAGCAAACTTACTAAGTACAACGTCTAGGTTGGGTGGGTGTATCCTAGTTGCTTTAAAGGACCTCTTGATGAGGGGAGGTTTGAAAACCTTAGTCCAGGACCTCTAGAAGAGCGGGAAGAAGTCTCCTTTAGTTATATCAAGTATCCCTTGGCTGTCTTAAAGGTATTGAGTCAACTAAGTTGAGTAAGCGTTTGCTAGAGGTTTGAACATCACCACATTAAGTGGTTGAAGCGTACGGGTAGCGTGAGGTGGGTAAACAGCCAATAGGATCTTGTGATCGTGGCAATAATTGATAAAGTCCATTATAACATAAGATCCATGGCCGTTAAGGAGTAGTAATCGATACCTAGTTAAAGCATGCCGCCGGGTTTCTCTTTCAAACACCTCCTTGAGCCAATGCAACCCGATATCGTTGTTGCTCCAGCTAGAGGGTGATAACGTAGTAAATACTGAGTGGTTTCCTGCTCGTACAGCATCAACCTAGCTTGTTTGTATAGCTCCATTGGCTGCCTTGAAGATAAGAGAAGGACTCAATACGCTCCTATCTGAACAAATACACGCCACAACGGTGATCCACTCACTTGAGCCATCCTTAAGCGGTTGGCGTACCCCCTTTTTATCCTAACGTGCCTTGGAGAAGATACGCTTTGTTCTGCTAATCCTTCTAAGTTAAAACCCCTTTTCATCTATATTGAATATATGGGAGGGTTGGACGTTGTACTCCTCTATCTTTTTAACTAGAAGCTTGAAATACAAGCTGTACTTGGCTCCTGAATCGGCGTTGCAACGAAGTTTGCTCATCCCCTTGCTGTGGGCAGAGATGAGATGGTTGGGGTGCTGGCGGATGAACTGGTCAACCTAGCTTTCTGAAACTGGCTTTCTAGCTAAATCTCAAGCAAAGCGTTGTATCATTTCCTTCGTAGGTGGCAAACGTCGTTTGGTAAGCGTATCGATGTATCGTACAAGCTCCTTCTCGTGTTGTGGATGGAGGGAGAGGTTGCGCACGCCATAGGCCTCAGTTTCGCCGCGGTGTCGTCTCATCAACGTCATTCGTGCTACACCATGCTTTTTCGCGATTGCTTGATACGAGAATTTATCTCCTAGTTCTCGCGATTCGATTTCTGCAATCGCTTCTTGAATTAGGTCCATATTGGTTGAGTTTTAACGCGTTGAAGTTTTGTTGTTGTGGTGGTGGGGGTGCTCAACAGGCGATGGTGCTCATCTGGTGCACGGGCACTGTACTACTAACGTGGTTCATAAGCGAGCGGACACCCCAAGCGAGCGGACACCTCCCCACCAGCGCGTCAACTTCAACACGTTATCACAGCCTTTTATCACAGTCAATAAACTATTGCAATATACTAGATTAATTGTTAGAATCGCTACTATCACTTGCACTGTCTATCTCAACTGCGCAGGTACGAGCGTTGTGTCTAGTCTGCTTGCAACGCCCGCACCGCCGCTCTCCTCGCACCCTCTTCGACGCACTCTCACCATCACCACGACTGCTACCCGCCTGTTTAGCTAATACTTCTTGTACTTCGCCTACAGTAAGAGTCTCTTCTGTCCGTACGTATCGCCGCTTGCGGCTTTTACGCTTATTTGACTCGTTAAGAGCTGCTTAAAGCGTACCCATTTCCTCTATTATAAGCGTCATTTTATGTGCCATTTGCTAGGCCCCCTTACTTAGCTACGCGATCTGCTTAGTAAGTGAATTAGCAGAAGACCCACGGCGTTTTCTCACGCTCTCTTAAATGAGACTAATTTGAGACTTAACTTCGCGCGCGTTGCGTGGTGTCTGCGCCTGCCAGGCGGCTACCTATTGCGGTGATTGACGAGGTGTCTACACCACTACATCAAGCTTAGATAGCACAGCCTGTGGGTCGTGTGGGACTAGTCCAGCGCCTCTAAAGCCA